TTTTTTTTCTTTTGCTCAATATTAAACTCAATTTAGCCTATCTTACGTCGGGGAGGCGGTCGTAATAGATCGTCAAGTGAAAATGTACGCGCTGCTGCCCCTCCCCCTCCAGGTATTGGATTGGGGCTGCTGAGGCTCAAAAGTGACGGTTTTCTGATACCCAATCTGTTGAATATGGAGCGCTGTGTGCCCGGTGCGATATTGCCGGTTGACTGTGGTATGGCAGTTGTAAATTGCAATTGCTCGCGTAATGATGTGTGATGATGATGCCCATGTATGGAACCAGGTGCTATAAAATATTGAACAATAAGAAGAAGAAGAAGAAAAATAAAACGTATGCACATACAATTAGAAGAAAAAGACAAAGAAAAAGAGAGACAGAGAGAGGAGAGAGATAGAAAGGTAGAAAAATTGTTTTTGCAAGAAGTTGTAAAATGAGCGCAAACACGAGAACCCTAAAAGTGGATTCGATTCGGAGAATTGTTTTAGTTTAGTTTTGCAAATTATCGTAAATACTTAAAAATATTTTATGTAGCAAACAATTATAAGTGTGTCGAATATTTCAAAATTATTAAAGCCATAGCAGAATACTTAAGACTGGCATACATTCAATACGAATCTTATGTTTATCATATTCTAAATAATAGTATATAATATTTGATATATGTATTTATATACGTAAACAATAATTTTAAACTTTGTACCCATAGCTTACGAAATTTATACCCAAGGACTTTCGGCTGAGGCAAATTTAGCTGTAGCAGGCAAACAACTAGCAACCCGTCAGGAAATATATATTTGATGACACTATTGCGCCAGAGAGAGAGAGAGCAGCAACGGCAAAGTCACCGTTACCGTGGTGGTGATTTAAAACGAAAATAGATCGTGCCACCTGACACGGTCTCCGATTTTACGTCGGTGGGAAACTGCGCTCTATCTTTCATCTCCTTCAGTGTTCGCTGAACATATTCGCAAAGTGATTAAGAAAAAACGTAAGAAGACGAACATGGAATTTCTCTCCATAAAAAGCAAACAGGACAAATTACTATAACAATTTCTTCAAGGAGAAAATATAAACTTCTCTATGGAAGTTATACTTGATGACAAGCTCTCATGGGATCTACAGCTAGGATCTCCATATGACCTGCCAGAACCTAATGGGCAGAAACTTCGATATCAGATTCATATTAGAAGAAGGTAGGTGTTGCCTCCATCTGGTGGATGAAGACATAAATGATGTGCATGCAGACCAAGCTCAACAAACGCCAACGACTAGTCCGCGTGGGAATAACTGGCCCTATTGAGAGCAACACCAACTGCCGATCTCGAGGCGCTTCTACACCGCCCACTTTTGTACATTGTAATAATGAAAAAGAATATACTGTTTACATCAATCCTTATCTCATGTGACAATGTGGGAATAAGAAGCTTATATACCCATAAGTTCTTAAGGTTATAGAATAATAGAAAGGACTGAGTATAAGCTGTATAGAACAGTGACTTTTCGTAGTTTAAATTCACACGTAACTTCAAGGTGGTTCTCCCTATTAAATAGAACCAACTTAGTAAATGAATGACCTAAACCGCGAAAGGATTACCACATCTGGTATACTGATTGCTCCAAGATTGGCAATGTCGCCGACGCAAGGGTCTATGGTATACCATCTGGAAAACAACTGAGCACACAATGTGCAACTTTGAAGCCCTTACTAGACCCAGACTGGCTTCCTATGATTCACGTATTTATAACTAAATCGCGTAAACATCACTCGCGAGACAAGACGAGGCTCAAAGATGGCCTCTAACGAAATAACTCTAACTATTGACACGTTGTAAAAGCCGAGTAGATGGGAGGGCAAGCAAATTAAAAAACATAATTTACCTGAAAAAAATGTGATCAATAAGTACGGGCTCCAAACGGCACCTTTATAACTAAGATGCAACGCCAGTTCATCAGCCGCACAGTTTCCAACATGCTTCGAGCATTCCGTAAGTGAGCCCAAGGCCTTTAACCTTCCTTACCGCTAACGCGCACAACAACAGCCAATCGACTGCTTCCTTAATGGCAGTAATCTCCGCTTAAAAACCATTATCTAGAAGCCTCCACCGACCCTTCAGTCAAGCTTCATCCACTCCGTGTAAAAGGTCGCCAGTGCCTTCTTCCAACATCTGCCCCCTGTTCACTCATCCCTTCATGAGATATGTGTGGAGAACGAACTAGGTGATTATAAGCTAGAAACGCAGGTATGAAAGCAATCGAAGACCCCGAAAAGAATAGAGTGTCCATATCTCGAGTCGGTCAGATAACCAGTTACCCTATGTCTGCCTGCCGCTCTTCCTGCAGCTGCTTTACCTGCGCTGTCGCCAGGTGCTATGTTAAGCATGATGTTAAGGGCTAGTGTGGGATTGGTCGGTAAGCGCACCACTGATTGCAATGAGGTCAGGTCGTTGAACTCGCTCTAACACAGTGACTAAGGTGGCGCTTTTCAATGTATTCCACCAGACACCACGATTCCATAAAACATAATGGGCTTGACTTTGTTTCTTAGCGTCAGGAAATAACTTTGGGAGAAGGCGTCCATCTCTTACCTATGGCGCCTTTGCAGCTAAACAACAGAGCCATTGAAGCTTTTCTTACCTTCTCCTTAATTGTAGACTTCCACAACAGTTTCCGATAAAGAATAAAGCCATAGTACTTGTCAGAAAGGCGTATGAAACCGAACGAGGCAGGAGTGGCGGGGGGCACCTCATACTTCTTAGTAAACAAAACGAGTTTTATTAAGATTAACAGCAAGTTTGCAGACCATGTTGTCACCAATTCAAGTATCCTTGAGTTAACTCGTAGAGGGTACGAAAACATTTGCGCCACACTAAAAGTGCCACATCATCGGAAAATAGGCGATCACCCGGCACCCCCTACTCGCCAGCTTCTCTAGTAGGTCGTTTACTGGTAATTTATTGGACGTGACGAGATAATATTACTTTGTGGCGTGTCCCTGTTAACCCTGCGCTGTACGGTAGCACCACTTCATTCCGTCGCGACAACTTTGTTGCCGATTATGCGATTTATGAGCACAGCTTTGTTCCCAAGTTTACTGAGGGATCTGACTATTGCTCCTATAGTTTATTGCTAAAAGCGTCCTTTACACCGATAAACACCCCCACACTGAAGTCTTTCGGTATGTAGGCTTCTTCAATTGACCTGAAATTTGTGTGCAAGGCGATCTCGTCCGACCTACCCTTGATGTATGCTTGATATGCAGATTAATCAAATTCTCAAGAGTTTAAGCAAGAAACGAAGAGCGGCTGATCGGTTTAAAATGCCTGGGAGCGATGTGAGAACTTTTTCCCGTTTTCGCTATAAACGTCATCCTGACCACTCTCCAAGCCCTGCTAACAATTAGCTAATACATTTTGAAAATAACTGTGTGCTAAAAATATACTAATTAATGGTGTTTCAATAATACGATTTAGCCCAATCTTAGTTCCATTTGAAACTACATAAATAGATAAGTCAAAACTTACTAATGGATACTTATCTGTACATTTGTATAACTACTTAATTCAACTTTATATACATACATACATACATATAGGGCATATTCATAGTAGGCTCGAAAGTTAATTGCAGCTTTTTTGACAGATATTCCACTCAAAATTTCGTCAAAAAGCTGTAAATAACTCTAGTGTCGACTTTATATTGACTATGAATATACCCATAGGCTTTAGCCTACGTTTATTATTGCCTACCTACACACTTATTTACATAGCTCTATTTAAATACGTACATAATCTAGCGTTTATTCTTAAAAAAAAAAATAAAAACTTACGTCGATTTCGATCTGCTTCCTCGGCTAGTAGTTTTTCGATCTTCTCTGGGAAGTGCCGCTTAGCACACCACACCAAGCCGATGACAGCCAATACAACAAAAACTGTGATTAAACCCAGCCAAAATGGTTCTTGTAGCATGCGTTCCGATAGCGGCTTATAAGGTATATGCAGCATACGGCGCTCACACCTTGCACCCTCCCACCAAGCATGACAACTATAGAGGTGAAGGCAATAAGAATTATAGTTATTTATTTAATATGTCTACTGAAATGTACCAGATATTTTTTTTAGAAATTAGATTTGCTCACTCTAGCCTTTCCATTTAGTCTAAATATCGTATACATATATCTATATAGCTTTATTATTGTTTTCCTACCATAACCCCTGTCGAGTTGAAGTTCAACTTTTGTTGAGGAGCTTATACTAAGCCAGCCACACCAAATCTTAAGTCTTTCACATCCATGTCACCGAATATCGCTGTCCTTTTGTACTTTCGGGGTTGTATCACGGTGTTATCAGGGCTGTACAGAGGCCTGTACTTTATTTAGTTATTAAACCTTGCAGGAAGCAGCGGAACACTGCTCGGAGTGGCCGGCTCTTTCTCTCAGCAAGAAAATTCTAATTCAACGCTTTTAAAATAGGAGATCGGCGCTTCTCAAAAAAAGCCGAAAGGTGCCATTACTACTGTCTCAACAACGAGCTCTCCTTTGGCAACAAAAATCCTACAAAGAAACCTTAAACCAGGTGCAACTACACCAACCAGCAGTAATACCAAGGGAACTCCTGGAACGAGGAGTTTAAAAGCCACTTCCACTAAAAAAAAGTAGTAGGCTAATAGCAGGCCCTTAACTCAAGCGCCGATCATCCTGTGTCCACTAGAAGTAAGGTAGCTACTATGCGATAGTACAGCCTTCTAGCGCAGTCATCCACCGAGATAAACGTACCGCGTACAGATACTGGCTGGCTACAGCACAACGTAGATCTAGCTGATTTTGACTATAGGTAACCCTTGGTCGAGTGGTTAGAGCTGTCAGCTCCTACTCGGTAGGTCCATGGTTCTATCCTTGTTCCGAGCTACATTAAAAAAAGTGTTTTACCAATAGCGGAAGGCAATGGCAAACCTACCAGTCTATATCTGCTATGAAAATAGTTTCGCATTAAAACCATTTGCGAAGGCGGCGCAACGCTTTGGGTCCCTCCCGGTTGTGGAACAACATCAAGGCTCACGCCGAAATTCGGAAGAAAAGCTCGGTCAAGCACTAGAAAATGTGTAAGTTCCAAATATTTAATTTATTTATTAATCCGTGAAGCTGTACTGGAATGCGCGCTATGATCGATAAACTACTCAAAGTGTACCCATGAACTCGTTTGAAAATTGTTGAAGCTAAGATATCCCAACGCGATGCAGGTTGAAAGCTTGGAACCAATAACAGCGCCCAAACAACAGCGCTTGGTCTGTCTTGCGAAAGTCATTACGTTACGTAGGCCCGCTTGCTACCAATTTGGAATACACAAACAAGTACCTGGTGGAGGTGGATACTTCGCCCAAGGCCGTCCGAAGGCATTTTTATGAACTGAAGGACAAGATCCAAAACTATATTCGACAACCACCGAACGCAAAGCTGGACAGACCTCCACCAACTCCCGCTCGAAGAATGCATTCACGGATTTTACAAACCTCCCTTGCAGAGGAACAGTTTCAATTGCCTCGAAACATCCCCATTACTCAGCCGAAATTACGGTTTGAATACTGTGCAGATTGAACTCTTCCTCAATGTAAGTTTCACATGCGAAGGCTCAACCCGTGACTCTAACTACTTTTTTACATTCCTGTCTCAAACCTACTCAATAAATACCTCTCTTACTTTAATCCGACAGCACAATCTAGCTGCATTTACCAATAGTAAGTACGTGGCGTCGTTAAGGGGTGTGATGGCTGACAGATAAAATAGTCGAAGTTTACCCAGGAGCTCGTCTGAAAATTGTTGAAGCTATGGCCGATATCCGAACGCGATCTAGGATAACAACTTCGGTATCAATGAAATTCAAGATAAGCTTCAAGGTCGGCAAGAGTTATCGTCATTCTGCGGCAATGAAACTTTAAATACGTGTATGATATTTAGAGCAATATAGAGAGTATGAATACCGAATGCCACATGACGTCCGAATGCACATTATACAGTGTCTACATAAATGTTATTATTTTTGGATTAATCACACTTCTCAAAAACGAACCGTACGTCGACTCTTGTTGATTACCACCCCGAATGCGTTTATAAAAAGCACTTACCGACAAAAGTAGCCACCATTTCTTTCAAAACAAACGCCACGTCCTTCGCAGGGATTCTCAGCACAAGGCCTTTGTTTTTGCTCGCAGGTTTGACCCATGTAACCCGGCTGACATTGACACTATATAGAAGAATTAAGATCGTAAGAAACATTTGCAGATAACAGTCAAAAGCATGCTGGCATGAACGAACCCACCTTGAAGCTATTTGTAGTCAACTCACATCTGCCAAACACGCAGGGTTCGAGCTCGCAAATATTCAAACCGCAAAATCTGTAAAATTTTTAGGTTCTTTTTACAATCTAATGATCAAAAGTAAAACTTATTTTGCCCCTTCTTACCTGCCCGTGTAGTGCCCCTGGCATTGACAATAGTTCGACCCATTGTTGGGCACGCATTTGCCATTAAACTGGCAGGGATTTGGTTGGCAGGATTCGACTGTAATATCGCCGGCAGTCAATTTCATTTTATAGGTATTATCTGTTGGAAACAATTAATTATAAACTACTAAGTATGAACAACAAACTTTTGTTTAAGCTCACCCCATTGTATTGACACGGTTGCATTTAGTAGCGCATTCGAGTGCAGACCTGTGCGCTGGCGTATGTGCAGCGTGTTTAGGTAGGATGTTATATACACAGGTGGCGCTGTGGCATCTACTACACGCATTTGAAGACTACTGCTCGCCTTCGTTGTTGGTATCATTAAACGGTTGGGACGGTCACGGTTATAAAATGTCTCCTGCATATGACCACCATATTTTGAGGTCTGTTGATTGTCTGGTGAACCGATGTGTGGCAGAGTAGTAGGCTGCTGAAACTTGCATAAATGCCAGTTTGTGCCATTGTTGTCGGCATAGTTGTCATAGACCTTAAAGGTAAAATAATTGCATTGATATCCCACTACATATAATCGCTGTGTGCCCATACTTACCTCTAGCAAGCTGCCATCGGGACAACCGCCATTCTCGCTAAACTCAACGCCATGTAGCTCTAGCAAAATATTCTGACCAAACGGCGCCACCAAATGGTGTGTAAAGTCTACATTTTCTGGCATTGCATGCGGGTAGTTGAGTTGATAGAGTTGTCCGCTGCTGTTGTAGTTCAAGCTGATTATACGCTCACGTCGCTCCAAGGGTGCCACTGAACCAAATTTTGCACTCAGGCAGTTATTTAAAATTAGTTTTGTACTCAATTTCCTTACCTGTGCGGTAGACAGCTTGAAACCCTTTGCCGCGCGGATGTGGTCCAGTGCGAAACTGTATGCGCAGCTGTTCACGCTCGCTTACGAATATACCCTCGCTCAATAGTTCTTTTGTGCGAAACGGTCGCAGCAGTCCGCTACCAATGTCCACTTCCAAACTTGCGTCTACTTTCAAATCGAACTCATTGAACTCGAGCCAGACGCGTTTACCGGCTGGCGCTTGTATCACGTAAGCACAATTCAAATTGTTGAGTAAAAAATGTGGATAGTTCGGACTGAGGACGGTGCCCTCGCGTGAGGTTAGCGTTTGTAGCGGGCAACCAGATATATCGATGGCCTTCCATGTGGCCGCATACCCCATACCATTCACAGAGTAGTCGCTATGAAAATTCAGCATAGCCTCATTTGAGCTGGAAACAAAATCAAATTTGGACATATTTGAGGTGTGCGTGCCACACCAGCGTACATATGGCAGGAATGATTGTGCATTATCCACAGGTAGTGGTACCATTAGTGGATCTCCATCATCTAAAATACTATTGCGCTTGCGTCGCGGTCTTTTCGCTTTTCGGCGGCGATGTTTAGGATTTTGATATTTCGTTATGACGCTAATGGCGCCGCCGTGTGCCGTGTGAATCCACCTATTGGTCTTGTGTGGCGGTTTCGAAAGCACCTCTCGCCTAAATCTTTGCCTCGCGCTGTGCGTTCTTCTGCTTTTTTCATATTTGTGTACTAAAGTTTTCCTAGTATGACTTTGTTTTGTATATTCCTTTTTGGCAGTGTTGGGGCTTTCGTAGTTCCCTTGCTTTGGAGGTGTATGCAGACCTCTTCTTATGCTACGTTTCGGTCGTTTACTGTAATCTGATTCGAATTCACCGATGTCTACTTCATTGTCGGTCGATGTCAGTTCTTCTTCTGAAGTTAACATAGCCATGGGCAAGGGATTGCTCCCGGGCTCTAGGGTTATGTGAGAGGCTAATTCGTAATCTTCTATGCTCACAAAATCGTAAAGACACTCATCCTGTGGCTCTAAATCTATCTTTTGGAACTGAAGTATAATGCGGGTACGCTCTGGTGTTTTGATGTGTACCCAATAGTCCATGTTGAGGGGATAAGTGTCGGGGTAGGCTTTTATTAAATGATTTATGATATAAAAAAAAAATTAAATAAACTCGGAATTAAATTTAAATTTAGAAGATATTTTGTCGTTGAATTTGGTGTCCAATAAGGATACAATAAAGTAGGTAGCTTACCTGGTGACACCAGCCTGCCCTCTGTACCTGTTACAGTTAGGTTGTTGGCGGAAAATGTACCATATGAGTCCTTCGGTTTTTTACACACATATCCACCGCCTTTACTGCACTTTTGCGATTGCCAATACA